TCGGCGCTAACGCGCCTAAGGTCGTCTAATATCTGATATAATGGACAGTTTTCGGCTTATAACCATCACTTATTGTACGTTATGTGTAAATTATAAATGTTCATCAAATACAACAGAAGATCATATCAAAATTACAATGTTCTCCCTTTTCACAAACATTCAAGGTTTGTGTCATGTTTTTTTCCTAACAATTGGTCATTCATTATATAGAAAACTGTGCTTAATGGATGGGATTGCATTTGCTGTCACATACAGAAATTGTCACCAACTAAACAACAGCACTTTAAGTAAGTTTCTTATTAATGAGGCTATCTTTGTCAAGAATTCTTTTTTCAGTGTTAGTAATCGAAACAATTACTTATAAGCATGTAAAAGTATTTAAATAGATACAAATATTTATGTCCGTTTCTATTCATTGGTATAGTTCCACTATAATTTTAACCATTTAAACAATTTCATTCATGCATTTCCTTTATTATTATGATAAGTTTTAATTTCATGTTCTATTTCGCTTTAGACTATCCCCTTGGATGTGAGAATAATTGAAAATGTAGCATTTTTATTTATCTATAAAATCATACATAATTTAAAAATTCTATATCTATAAAATATATTTGCTCAAAGTACGGATATATATTTATAGGGCAAGTACGGAAATACAGAGAGGAAGAATGCTCTACACCATGTTTCTTTGAACTTGAATATACTGGATCTAACTATCAAAACCATTATTGTATCGTACGACATTTTGTTGTACAGTTCATGACTGGTAGATTACCTATGGCACACAACCAGGAACTTTGTAAGCGCAATGATGTTAGGAACACATGCAATTTAAAGCTGATCTGTAACAAATCATACGTAAAAGGTAAAATAAAATACAAATACCTGACCTATTTTAAAACAATAAATTAAGGAAACATTGAACATACGAGGGTTGTCCGTAAAGTTCGTGGACAAGCTTAGAATTAAATAAAAGTTGCGTCATTGATATATATCATTAGCATATTTCTAATCTTTTACTAAATGTGAATTGAAAAATGTAAAATCTTATTAAATTTCAAATGTTTATTTTCAATTATGGCTTCATAATTAGACTCGGAATGGAGACCAGGAGCACTGCAAAATTTTAATTAAAAAAATTTGTATCTCTTTATAAATTTCTTTTGTATTTTATAAAATTCTGCGGAAATCTGGATGATCTTTACATTATGAGGTTGACAAAAGCTATCACATCAAACATGCAAAATCTGAACGTTCAAAGTTGTAAAATGGCTGAGCAATCAAAGTTCGAACTTATTAAGACGGATCGGAATTGTTCCAAAAAAGGGACGTTTTCGGAATAGGTGGAGCAGTGAGCAGTGATAAAATTCTGCGTAGACATCGGATAAACACCTACAGAGACCAATACATTTTGTAAACAATCGGAAAAACATAGTAAAAGAAGCCGTACATTAGTATTCAAGTGGCATATAATATTTTCGGACGGAAGGAACAGTTTATAGAATTACATGCGCAAAGGAAAACCAAAATTTCGAGATTGCAGTGCCGTAAAAATGACTTTCATAACGTGACTTTACCGTATTTTCTCAAATAGAATCGTTTTTACGCGGACAGAGGTTGAATGATTACAGAAAATGAGACAGGCATTGTTGAATATTATTGTACGTGTGAACCTGAACATTTTGTGCACATATTTATGAGTGGTTCAAGCGACATAAGAAATGTACCGAGTTAAACGGTGACTATGTTGAGAAAAGTTACATGTACTCGTTATGCATTTGACGTCGGGTAAAGTCAAGAATTTTCATTTTAGTGCTCCGGGTATGAGTGTATGTCTTTTTTTAATCTAATAAAAATATAACTATTTGTGATTTGTTTTTTTTTGAAAACTTGCATGTTTATAAAATGATACATGAATTTAATGAAAATAATAGTTTCATATATTTTATCAATGTTTATCAGTAATTATCAATGTTGTCCACGAACTTTACGGACAACCCTCATATGTTCGATATAAAATCAATCAAACATTTTATAAAGTAAATACAAAAACCCGTTTTTCATTATCAGAATTCGTCTAAAGCATAATTTTAATCAGTCATCAAACTTAAAATACTTAAAATATACTTTACTATGTTTACTTATTTCAAATTATCCTAGACAGGTTTCAAAGTACTTGTATTTTTCATTCATGCGAAGACAGTCCGTTATGTTCAGAAAATAAAAATGTATTTCAATGTCATTTTCATTTACCAATAATCCTTATAACAGACACTACCAATCTTACCATAAAAAATGCATCGATATATATTTATCACAATTATGTTTATTTTTCATGCACTTTTTTTTCTCTTAACGTTGTGCTCTTTATTTTTCTTTATATATTGTATTTCAATTTTGTGTTTAAAGTGGCATATAGGCCCGATGGGCCGGTTGTTGACTGTTATTTTATACAGTCTGTAAACAAAAGAATATAATTATGTACACATGTCACTACAAATAAATAAATTACGCACTTACTTATACTGTAAAAAGATAATAACGTCCGTGGCCGATTTTCTCAGATGGCATAAATAATTTTCATGAAACTTTACGGCTATATATTATTTCCATTGGCACAGTAGTAATTGACTTTTGAGAGAAGCGCAGGCTTTCATGCACAGTCGACGGCTTACCTGCGTTATTTATGAAAGAAGGCAAGGAATCGAAGATCTTTCAGAAAACCTTAATATTGGCATAAATATTGTGTTAGGGCCAGTAACATTATTTACCGGTATGCCATCAACACAGGAGAGGATCGGAGACAGAATAAAATTAATTTACTCTTTTGTGAGGGTAGTATCTTCTTTCTTTCTCATTTTCTGAAAGAAAAAAACAAGTAACACATAGATATTGTCAATCAGAAACTCAAGTATCTTTTAGATGTCAACTTCAGAGTACTTGTGCGTACAATCAGAATGTTTTAACAAAATAATTTTGCAATTGGCCAATGACAAGGTAAGTAAATTTACGAGTTCCAGTTTTATTGAAAAGCAGTTTTCAATGCTGTAAAAATATCTGGACTTTAATTTATCTTGGGAAATGGTTGTGTATAAAGCAGAAAAGTCGTCTGTTGATTTTAGTAAAATCTTGTGATTTCAATTTGATATAGAGTAATATAAGTTTTTAAAAAATTGAATCCGTTTTCCTACTGTTGTCATAAAAACCAAAAAGTGGAAATTGTATTTGTCATTTCATTTAATTATTTTTACTTGTTTATGTTTATAAAACTGCATAATGTTGATGTACAAGTGTCTCTCCAAGTTTGTGAGATTCAAAATTTCTAAAATGACTACTGTTGCAATGGAAACAAAAAAATATATCTATTTTTGAAGCTTCCCAATCTTTCTAGTGAGTGTTTACCAAGCTTTCATATTAGTACATGTTTCACACCTCGAACAAAGGATTTTTGCGTGTACCAAATCACTTGGTACACCCCAAGCCCAAGCTTCATGGTTGGATGACTCTGCCATTGTGTACATAATTATTGAGCAAATCATTACCAATGATAGGTCACAATTATGGACACAGGACAAGGTCACCAGACAATGAATAATAGACCCTGATGTGCTACATAGTCAAAAAAATCTACATAGTTACATAAATTTGTACACAATAAAAGATCCCTTTCTCTTCCCCTTTTCTTCCTGAATTATTCAACATTAGCCAAAGTTAAAACATGAAAACAAAATTATTGTAAAAAATCAAAAGTAAAAGAGAAAATTAAGAAATGTCTAGTAATTGATTGAATATTTAGGATTCACCATTGACATTGGTACTTTAATCAGAATTATCGCATTGAGAAGAGAGAGCAGTAAAATTTTACTTACTATTTAATTTATTCTTTTATTCCAATTAAACAGATATGGACTGATTGGGAAACAGCATAAAGTCTAAATATGATTGTTTTAAGAAGTTCAAATTCATTAAAACCGTCCTGTATTGCTCAAGTAGTGCACATGTATATCCAACTGTAAACCTTTCTTTTTTTCTGCTTTTCACTTTCTGTGGAATTCTTTGCTTTGAGGAGAAATTTATCGTGTGAAGCATGTACTAAGTATGTTGTTAAACTTTTCCCTCGCCATTCGATTTGGTCCCTCGCTTCGCTCGGCACCAAATCTCATGGTACTCGGGAAAAGTTTACCAATATATATTATTCTGTTCTTCTTTAAGTATACATACATAGTTTTTTACAGATTAGTACTGTATTCTGTGTATCCAGAGACCATATGCAGTTCCATTTGTCAAATTGTTAATTCTTCAATCTATTGAACATATCTTTTAAGTATTACAACCTCGAAATCTTCATATAACACAGTCGCCCCCGTAGTACAGTGGTTAGAACGTTCGCTCCAGAGTTGCGGTACAAGGACTTTAGCATTACATTGCGGGTTCAATGGGTCAAATCTGCAGCCTTCAAGCGACAAATGGTGGAGTCTTCATATGAGTAGAAAATTATCCAGAGGGATGTTAAACAACAATAAATCGATCAATCAAAACAGAGCTTTTTTTATTTCACCTTAAATTTCACTCGGCGACAGTAGATGCTTACTCCTCTATGACACTCGATTCCATTTCCGATGTTTTTAAAAAGGTCTCTCTGTTTTTCTGCTCCCCATTTGCGTTGTTTCAGTGAATTTTTCAGCTTGATTACATTAGTTATCGTCTTATTTCAGTGATTTTCAAGATGATACCTAAATTTAGTATAAAACATTGATTTTTAAAAAATCTCAACTATAATCTATAATAGATTTCATTTCCTTTTCTGGGGGAAATTTAATCAATCTTATATTTAGTATATGATAAACTGCTCTTTCTTGTAGACGAATCCACTGTTACGAACGACAAAGGTAATTTTCCTGGAAATTTATTCGAATGATTTGACACATTTTGAAGCAAAATAAATAAATAAAACGTATATTGTTAATTATTGTATTCTTATTTTATTCCAGACAATTCAGAAGACTTGAATTCAACAAAAGCCGTTTTTGGTGGTATAGCCATTGGCGTATTACTAACCGTAATAATAGTACTTATGATAAAGAAGAAAACGATTTGGAAACATTTTGATAGGTACAGTAAACATTTATTTCATTCAACTGTTTAATTGACTAAATTGACAAAATTCAGGGTAAATTCGAGTGCGGAGTTCTTTGTGCACCTTGTCAATACCTTGGGCCACGGTGGATATTTCGATTAATAGGGGATGCAACAAGGGAAGCTTACTCCTCCGCGCCACCTGGCTCCGGGGCAATAATACTGAGTTGAGTTTACTTTTGATCTAAATCTCACTTTTCCACTATTAATCCCTATTGAAAAAGTGAGATTGAGATTAAAATGAGATCGTCTCAGTTTTATGGCCCTGGAACCTGATCTCATTTCAGATGTTTTAAAATCTCTGTGTTTTTGTATTGTTCATGATTATTTTGATTTACCGTATTTATGACATTGATAACAGTTCGATATCTATACCTTTTACAATAGATGCCATGTCCTCTGATCGTTGCCTTTGCTGAAGATAAGTGTTTAAATCTGTAAAAAAGAAAAACTCAAAATCAAACAAAACAGGTTAAAAGCAAAGGGAACTTAGCATGAATGCTGCTCAACAGTCTAAAGCATAAAGGTCCCATGCTGTTTGACTTAAGAAAAGTCAATTGATGCTCTTAGAAAACAAATTAGCCACAATACGACGGTTAACTAATTCTGTTTGAAAACATTATCCACTTTTTGTAATAGGGGAATGCAATGATAAAAAAAAATCCTGATAGAGATCCTGAAACATTTACTGTACGGCGGAGTGACATTGGGAAATCAACATTGAATCATAATTATTATAGCACTGTATATATCATCAAACAATAAATAGAATTTTGATATATCAAACATAATGTTCAAAATATTGCAAATACAATACTTGGATTATCATCGTTTAAATTTTACACATTCTCATCAAATAAAGGAAACTATCAAATATAGACATCTTTATATATCTATCTCTCCCACAACAGTCATAAAAATAATCTGATTTACATCAATTTTCTTCTGTCAAATACATCATATTAATCTTGTTATCAATAATAAATTTCAAAATAAATTATCATAAAATAATTTAAATTTGTTTGTTTTCTAGCTTCTGATTGGTTGATATCCAAAATGGAACACAAATTATTTATGTATAAGCTGGTTTGCTACGGGAAGCCCCCCCCCCCCCCCCCCCCCCCCCCCCCCCCGATGCTGAATAATCTGTATCCATGCAATCCTCTCATTTTCAGTCTTCGGAATTCATGAAAAATTCCTGATTTAATAAATTTACCTTTAACTTCAAACCGTAATTCGATCTTACCACATTTAAAAAAACAACATGGCTGCTAGGCCTATGTATCAGTTTTTATCTCCCCACGCTTCCCATCACTTCCGTTACTAAGATAGTATTACTGAGCGGAAAATTTGAACTAATAAAAAGCAAAGAAATTTTACATCCCCGGTTGCTTAATTATTTATAAATAAATAACGCTTCGCAGATTATAAAAAGTAAACTGACCCAAACCAGGTTATACTCGATTAATTTGGCCAATAATTAGAGTCATTCCAAAAATAACGTCCCCTTAAATTATTCATTCACTTTAGTAAACGTAAATGAAAAAAAAAAAACTTTTGCATACTATATAATGATCATTTTTAATGTGAAAGGAATTAATATTAGTAATTAATGTAGAAAAGGAAATTTTAAGTTTCAAGACAAAGTCTTTGTGCATATATGTCTAGTTTTGTATGATCAGCGAAAGAACATAGAATGGTCAGAGTAAGCGAGAAAACTCTAAACAGCTAGGAAAAACCAATCGAATATAAACTTTCAAATCAATGAAAATCAAAATAGCAATGACCATTTCAAAATACCTGATCAATTACCAGTTTTAACCTTTCTAACGCAAAACTGACCAGGGCGTTCTCCCCAAGAAGTCTTTATAGAAATTCAACCGTATCCCTCAATTATGCCAATGAATTTTGCTTTGAATTGTTGTTCAACAATATATGAATAATTTAGAGACATTTACATTTACTCATGATACATATTGCAAGTCCATAAGCATATTTTTTACAGAAAAGGGAAGGTGAACGGTGCTACAAATACTTTATACAGAGTCGGTTCCGTGGCTAATGAACTACCTGGTGGAGAGACAAAAATATACAATTCAATAGACGAATATGAATATGCAGAACCCTTAAACGTGAGAGTAATGTGTTTATTACGCAACATACTAAAGTGAGGTTATAAGAGCTTTATAAAATTTGATGAATGTAGCACCAACATGTTATCAATATTTTGAAACTCTTTCCAGAATACAGAAGTACCAGGAGAAGAGCAGAGGCCAGGTTTAGGAAAGAAGCCATATAGTCATCTCTTTGAAAATGAACAGAACACTTGTGAAAACTACAATGAATATGAATTTTCCAGTGATGATAATTATAAGAACCTAAAAAGATTAAGTGTAAATTCTGTTAAAAATATCGAAACTGAAGAGTATTTCACTTTGGAGAAAAAATAGATGGGGAAATTGATGTTCCTTTAGCATTTGTATATAATAGCACATTATGAAAAATAAATTGCACTATTGTTTATTTTAAAGCGATAGTATGGCTGCAAATCGTGTGCATTTTCACTCGAATTCCCGTGGGACGTGGAGACCGGTCCTTGGGGTGCGACCGTATAAACCGAGGTCCCGTGTCGCAGTAGGTGCTGGCATGAAAAAGATCCCTCCCTGCTCAATGGCCCTGAGTGCCTATCGAGTATAGTACAAAATTTGCATCTGTCCACCGGCAAGTGGTGGCGTCTCCATACGAGTGAAAAATTCTCGAGAGGGACGTTAAACAATATTCAATCAATCATTCAAATTAATCCAACATATCATTAAGGAATATTTAGATAAAAATTTGAAGTCGGCAGTAACTATTTCAAAACCACACATATTCTCTACTCATACAAAATTAACATAATTAGAATCTGCCAGAAAATCAAGTCATACATCTTTAGTTAGATCTGTTTTCTTGTACCACATGAATTCTAAAATGGCACGTGCCTACAGTGTAGGGTTTACAATTATAATGGAATATTAGGTAAAAGCAGTTCTCAAAAGCAAAATATCATTAACTCTCCAATAAATAAATAACCGTTTACATTTAAGTCTGCATTCAGAAGAATTTAACATAATTAAATATAAAATTAATGTTGACGTAGTGTATTGGGGTCCACGAGAGGAAAATTCGTTATTACGAGATCACTAACTCGTTATAACGAGTTACTAACTCGTATTAACGAGATAATTATCTCAGCCTATCCGGCTTTCTTGCACTTCAAATCGCAATAATTTTTATATATCATAGGTGCACTTTAATGTTGAGTTTACACTGATTCTTTTTCTTTGAAAGCCATGGAGGTACGAGAAATGATAGCATGTAACGTATGAAACTTGTAATTTTATGAAAGTGTATACATTTATATTTACATTTCCATTGTTTTTGTCCGAGATAAAATTACAAATTGTAAATGTACTTTATTTCCCCATCAATGTATTGGCGCGGTTCCAAAAAAAACACGTGCAGGGCGGAACAAACAGCTAGACAGAAGCAGGGCTTGAAGCACGTGGATTGGCGGAATCAAAGCATGTAAATATAAGGAACAAGAAACATATTGACGCAAGCGTCAAAAATCGGCCGCAAACCAATTAATTCTTTCATACAATAAATTAGAAACTGAATTCTTCTATTTATCTGTTAATTAATATATATCCCTGTGACATTAAACATTTGAATGCGACATCCCAGGATTTTCTTCAGTACATAATACATGTACATTGCTACAAATAAAATGTATTTAAGCAACTTACTCATAGCCCTCTGTGTCCCCGCACTCAGTAAGTTTATAAACGAACTCTCGCGGAAGTTTGATGTTTAAGTAGTTTTAACACTTAACCATTAAAACTAACGTTTAAACTTATCTAACTAGAGATAGTTTAACATTAAATAAAACGTAACAAGTTTTCAACTATGCGGGGCTCCTCGCTCGCTCAGAGGATGTTGAAACCCCCAACTCCCTCTAGATCCGCCACTACATTTCTTCTCTATCTTGTTTTGGTGTGACATGTGGACGGAAAAGGTTTGGCATGTTGTAAAACGCGCTTTATCCTTGTCTGTTGGAGAAAAATCTCCTAATATTCTGTCTGATAATAAATTAAGATTAAGTCATATTTTTGAAAAATTTCCGTATTAAAAGTACAATGTATATTTATATTTACACGTCAATTTAAATTATATATACAACAAATCCTGTTGAAGTAGAGAAAGTAAAGTTTGTTTAGACATGCATATAACGCGGTCCTTGCTTTAGACTATGCCCAACATGTGTGCTTATTTCTCCGCACTTCAGTTACGTCGGAGTTTGTCAATCAGGATTGGATGAAACATTTAACCCATTATTCATAAAATTTTAATTTTATGATTATTATGCGTTTTTATTTTACATTTAGACACTCTTTCTTAATATTCTATTACATGAATGTTAAATATTTTTTATTCAAATTGTTCTAACTCCGCAGAAACGCACGGTGACTTAAAACTTTCATATCATATAACCGACCGCCTCCTGGCGGCCGGTAATAACTGTCAGATTTTTCAATTTCATGACGATGATCAATCGATTGGCTTGCGTGATAATTTTATGCATAAACCCCTTCGGCGTTTATACAAATTATCACGCAACCCAATCGACTGATCACATCATGAAATCGAAAAATAAGACAGATATTCCTTAAATGAGTATAAAAAATTCAACAAGTCTGTTTTTGAAGAGAGCGCCGTACTGTGACTTTAGAGTATAACAAATAATAATGATTTAAATTAATATATGCTTTATGTACTATATTTTAGGACAACAAATTGTATGTAAAAGGTGAAGATAACTAACAGCGTATCTATTTGAATTCTAACTCGAGTTTGAAGTAGCCTCTCGTGTATGAAAAAAGTAATTAAAACCCGCAACTTCCTACCTTTCGACTTTATGGATATGGATTGCAATTTCCCATTGCATGTTCCCGATATTTTATTAACAAAAATCAACCAAATTCAAACATTTCCTTACTGAATATAATGACGGTTTTCAGTCTTGCGAATTATATTCTTGAAATCACTTATGCGTTTAGAAATAATTTAAAGAATTCAATATTATTACCCTGAATTTAAGATAACTATAAAGTAGCTGTAACGAGTAATCAAATAAAATTATTAACTAAAGTCAATATTCAGTATGTCCGAACGAAAATCGAACACCTGTTAACATCCTTAGTCTTTAGGTTTCGTCTTTTGTCTATGTTTATTGCCTTAATTTTTTGCTTTTCTATTTTGTGGGTTTCCCTTTATCCATGACAAAATATACTGAGCCCGAATCAGTTTTGTTCTAATTTAAAAAGTAAGACTGTGAGTTTGCAACAATGGTGCCCTCCTTGATATCTAACTTGAAGTAATTTCTACGAGTGTAGTACATTAGTTGATTTCCATAATGAATTATTGAGAACGTCAGGTTTTTCAGTGGATGCTTACCAACGGTCCAGTAGTCCACAAAGGGGCGAGAGGATTTTTGGAATGACAATATTTGCAAATAAACAGATACCTCTCAATTAATGTAGGATAATGTTATAATTGAAAAATATGGTGTGGAACGTTGAATTAATAAAAATCAGTTTGTTCATTTTTCAATTTTTCCATCTGGCTTCTCTCAAAATTTAAACAAGCAAATGAAAGTACAAAAAAATATATTTTAGTTGTTTTTTAAATATTTATTTTCAATTCAATTAACATGTCAAACTTAATTGATTGAAATATCTATATTATTATATTTCTAACACTTGTAATGTCCCCGTTCTAATGTTAACATTGGGACTACTGGGCGAGAACGGATGATAGGCCGTTGATTTTTATCATGATTAATGTCTATCAGGTACTTATCTCAATGTTGTAACGCTACTTTTTTACACCTAATCTTCAGAAAACAAGTAATTTAGTCTTGACAGATAAATAAATTGATGTGGTCAATTTTTGCATTATGCCTCCGGTGCTTTATCAAATGAAGCGCAAAACAAGCGATTTTAGAAACAAAATGTGCAGCACACAATGACAGAAAATAGTAAGACTTCAGTAGAGATCATGGTAGAAGCTTTTTACTTGTGATACTTTTGTTTGTTATAATTTTATAATTATGGATCCAGACGTCAGAAAAACCTTGATGGAACTTAACCGTCCACGTGGAAAATTCCGGACCCAAGTGCTAAAAAAATCTCAAGAAAAAGTCAGCAAAAATATAAAAACATTTAAATACACCCGAGTGTTGAATAAAATACGGGAAAACATCCCAAAATGCACGTGTACCAGAGAACTTTCCCGCGCTTTCTGTACAGAATTGTTTCCGTTTTGGGGAATTATGAAAAAATACAGCATTCGGAAATATCTTCTGGCAGATTTTGTAGCCGGTCTCACAGTAGGGATCATACATATTCCTCAAGGTAAGTCTTTAATGATTAACAATACTGGCTTCTTGTATTCTTTGTAATTTAAAATTAATTTAATAACCTGTAATTGATAATTTCTTCCATTCAGACATTTATCTCATCATATAATATGTTGACATAGAACCTTTACCATAGAACTTATTCATCGTACACATAAATTAAAACAAAAAAAAAATAACGAATTCTTTGAAGAAAAAAAACTTTAAATTAGTCAAATTTGAATGATATTTTCTTTTTGAAATTCAATCTAAGAAATGATAATTAATATAAAAAATGTATAAGAAAAGATGATTTGAAAACAAAAAAAACAACATTGTTTTAAACACTCAGAAGTCTGAGCATTACCTCATTATTTAGAGTTCAAATGAACCTGTATTTATCGTTTTCTGCGTAAAGAGAGATCAATCTTTCTCTCGGTTGACTTGTTTCGCTTCGTCAATCTTAACATTGCTGACTCGTATAATGAAGATTTTGTTGATTCCTAAGAAAAATGTAAGATAAAATTTTAATGTAAGTCTGTAAAATAAAAAAAATGTAATAATTAATTGTTAGAAAACAAATAAAGAAATCCGAGGATTAAAAATAAATGAATTTGTAAATGAATTCTTATGCTTGACTATTAATAGTATTCTTTTTTTAATTTGAAGAATTTAATTCATTGATTGTTGAATAAATTTAATGTAAGGATGTATTCACTATGACAAAAGAATTGACCTATAGGAGAGAACAATTTTCCGGAAAAAGTGACATTCAAAAATTAATCTTTATTTGTTGTTTTCTACCGTATATATGTCTAAATTTTTCAAATTTGTATTTTATACCTAAAATTTATAATTTACGACTTTACAATAAACCTCCAAAGTTGGCCGAAACACCATTTTGTCCATTAAATCGTTGATTATTGTATGAATTTTGGTCTAGAAGTCCTTCAGAACAGGTCTGCTCCTATATAAAATTGTGATATTTTGATAGGTTGGGATGTAAGGAATATTATAAGATAGATTTTTATAGGGGCACCCCTGTCCTAGGGTCGAAATTCACAAAAAACCTACAAAAATAAGAAAAGCTGATGTTGAATCTGCTTTAAATTTATACCTTTCATTCTTATAGTCAGACTAGCTCAGTTAATTGATATATATGTTGACTTTTACAACGTGGAAACATTCTTTTAAAAGTCGGGGGTTCGAATCCACCTGGTCCCACACTTTTAACGTTTTAAATCTCGCCTTTTCAAAGACTATTTTAATTCCTTTTTTTACAGACTTGTGTATTTTCCTTCAATTATCTATCCTTTATGCATGCCCATTCTTGATATAAGAAATACTAAATAGATTAAATCGTAACAATCCAATGTACAGTTGTCAGTCAGGCAGAACAAACCTCAGTATAAGCTCACTTTTTCCGAGGACAAAAATAACTTACTCTGTGGGTATATTCGATTAAGCGACACGAGTGACACGAGTCACTAGAGTTGTAAATAAAACAACCTATCTTCGACAGAAGTGATCAACCCGTGTTACGCGAGTATACTCCTCAGTTTACCTGGAGTAACAGGTGAAAGAAATGGCGGGGAGTGAAGTCGCATTGTTTTAAAATGCGAAAACTGTTTCTGCGTAAATTTGTCAGTGTTTGTATTAGAAATTTACAACGTCAATGAAAAAAGTCTGCATTATAATTTTTGATATCCCTCCCTTTTTTTAGTTTTAAGGTCAACCTGAACCTCTTAAATTTACGGCTATGTTATTATTGGCAGTTTTCAATTTTTTCTTAAAAAATAAAGTTTATCTTTTTTTTTTTTAAATCTGCCTATAATTATTGCCCGAACCTCTGGGGCCAGTTTTACAAAAGAACTTACGAATAGAACCAAAAACTTACGTTGATTATAAATTTTTGAAAATTAACCTTTTTGGAAATTGTTACCATAGAAACATTCTAAATTCTTTTCAAGAAGAATAAAATCGCAGAATCAATTTTGGTCTTAGATGTAAGTTCTTTTGTAAAACAGATCCCTTGATTACAAAAATGTCTAATAGATGCATATTGATTAACTAAATTTTTTTTGATAGATTTAACAATCGCAGCACAGATATCTCGTGTTAATTACCTTATGAAGTTAAATTATTATTATTAATAATTCAGTTTTAACATAAGTGCAGGATCAAATGTGAGAGCAATTTCAGTTACATGCATGTATTACAATGTTATCTTATAAATATGGAGGTCGGGTCCCCAGAACCAACCGGTTCTTTGTTTACAATAAATGTTATAAAAAATTTTACCGGGGGGGGGGGGGGATAAAGGCACGCAGCAACTGGTGGAAGTGCTCCCCACACTTTTTTTTCCAAACATCTCTTTCCTTTTAAAAAATCTTCATTGAAAGACCACCGATTGCTTCCTCCCCCTTTTTGTTACAGTAAAGCCAAGCAAGGCTGAAGTCGTATCGTATGAATAAAAATTTGGTACTGAAAGAAGTGGAACCTACATCCTCTTCCTCCAACTACCGGTAAATAGAAGTGTCTTTTTTTTTCTCTGGCTTGCCCCCCCCCCCCGCTTCAAAAACGATGGTACGTCACTATTATATTTCAATGTAAGTGTGTGGAGACATTCTTATTCTACTTTTTTATTTTAATAAGAGGAGGTATTGACTTGTTAAATAATATTGCAAGGATAAATAATCTGTAAAATATATGTTGTATCCACAGGCACCTGACGTTACATGTGTACTTATTTTTCGTTTAATAAAAAAGAATATACCCATACCTAATATATATTTAAAATTTTCATAAAAAGAAAAATAAGTAACGACAGGTTTCTGTGGTTGTATCTGCAAAAAATAAATTTTATTGAACAATTAATTTCAGCTTTGATGTCTTGTATTAAATTATCTGCTATTCTTTATTTGATAGTTGGATATTGTTTGTTAATCAATTGTTTGTCCTGTTCAAACCCAATATACAGGGAATATACTGTTTTCCCCGCCATATGTATACAAACACTAAACAACACGAGATGTTTTATTTAGATCACTAGAGTTCAATCAATGTGCATTCGCATATTTAACACTAGTGCGACACGGGTTGTCTTAATCGAATACACTCTGTGTTACTCAATACAGGTATTCTTTGCAGCATTGCCATTGAGCTGCAATTAATTTCACTTGTATATATTCCTTAGAATTTAATCACATTGACTTTGGCTACACTGTACTCCCTTGGATTTCATTTAGGCCTATATAATTTGCACACTTTAATGACATGTTTTATTATATCCACGGAAATATAGCCTAGACATAAAGAACAGAATTTCAGAGACAGTAGACATTACCATTATGCACAATGAGAAGTAAATACAAATATCAATTATTACATTTGGAGATAACAAACTCAGAAAATTAATGAAAGGGTTCCTTCTACCTCTACTCACTGAAATAAAGATTTAGGAAAAACATATTGTTATATGTATTCAGCCTAATGCCATTAATTGGAACGGAAATCGACAAGCTTTTTGTAGAGAAAAAAAACCAAGCCCGGTCCGATAGGTCAGATCCCTATGTATAATGAAGTGATCCTTTTAATATATTGTAAAATTAACACTTTTTAAAAATTTTTAAAAGTCAAATTTTTTCCTCTTTCTACAACGGTTTTACATATGTATATAATAAGTAGTATATCTCGGAGCTTACTAGTACATGTATCTTGAAACAATGCAAAAAAAGGAATTTAATCAGAAAAGCTTTACATCTAAGAAATAACACAAAATATAATGAAATATCGGTTTTTTATCTACATATCAATAATATATGTCACATTTATGATCTTAACCTGGAAATATTGTTGAGAAAGAAAATTATGCCTTTAGATTCTTATCAAAATTACTAGCATAATCTTTTATTCCCTTGTGGCTAGGTTAGAAAATATACAGAACCTTATTTCAATAATTAATGAAATGACAACATTTTTAATTTGATCTTTGGAGTAACTAATGAACAAATTTCTTTTGATCTTCCGTGCATGAGTTCTATCTATAAATGCATTAGTTTCTTATATTACGCACTCTCTCATTACTTAATTAAGTAAAATAAATGACTGTATATCGTTACTGTTCTCACTTCCAGGAATGGCCTACGGCCTGCTGACTAACCTACCCCCTGTTTACGGACTTTATACCAGCTTTTTCCCCGTCATCCTCTACTTCTTCTTCGGGTCTTCAAAGAAGGTGTCCCTTGGTAAGTTTCTCCAGTGATACATACAATTACATTATCATGATTTATACAATATTCATGATACTGTCATACTCATCTGGAAAAAAGCA